ACAAGAGACAACTTATATGTTCGTGTACGCCGGTGAATCTACGGGGCCCGAGCGAGGGAAATGCTTTTCATCGAAGCTGGCTATTATTCTTCAGGCCTTCCATTAAGGCAACCATCATAAACGATCTCAATCCATCCGGCTCAACTGCAAGGGCCATGGCTTTCTTTCATTTCTTAATCTGCAGCAAAACAGAGTGTGTCCAATTATACTGCATCAGTGATTTTTCAGGTCTCTGCGCTTTTACGTTATGATTTGGACAATTCAGAGACAGATAGACATTGATCTAGTAATCAAGAATGGCCGTTGGCTATGAGACTGCAGCGAACAGCACGCACGTGTGTGTGTGGGGTTTGAATTGTACTACCATTCATGTGAAGTAGTACAAAGGACCCTGTGCCAAAGCATTGTCCACTGCAGATTTGCCTCCCTGCTCCCAGTTTTTCACCTGGCCTGAAGCACCCATTGTTAGTTACTCATGCGATGGATGCAAAAGAAGGTCCAGTATATGAATCCAAATTAAGACCGGTCCAAACCTGACGACTGAAACATCGTTGTGTCCTATGCGATCATCCCCGTGTTCAATTACCATGTCGCAATCACCACCGACACGACTGATGCTGCACTGCCCCTAAACCAAACAGGTTATCACCATCGCCACGCACGATGCCGCACCTACCTCTAAGTTAGTATAAATTTCTTTCAGAAAATGTCTATCAAACTACCAGGTGACCATTTAAAACTGATCCATGCATACCTGTGGGACGCTTTTCAAAATATCCAACTCCAGTTCGAGATGCAGGATGAGTTTATATGGGCGAGCAGTTCTGGTCCTCATTCTGCAGCGTCTACCTACCATATTCTCAGTGAAGGAGTCATTTGGTATCCAACTGCAAGGGCCATTGGTAATGTTACACACTTTGATTTATTTATTTATTTTTGTTCAAAGATTTATTATGAATAGAGGAACATTTTCTTTTAAGGTTAAATTAATAGTTTTGTTTTTATTTAACCAAACATAACTTCTTTTATTTCAGTAGCAGTATAATTAGTCTCCACGTTAAACTAAAATATATAGAATATTCAGATGTAAATTGGAATAAATTGATTTTATCAGCTGAATGGCAAATTAAGATGGACCTACATTTTTCATTACGGTAAAAATGGATATATCTAGCTTTATGTATGGAATTTGGCTCGATAATGTGATCTTTCACCAGAGGAGATGGCGCATCCTATTTTGATTTTCTGAAATCTAAAAGATATGTGAGCGCAACAACTCGTCGCGCGATGCTTTCTGGTGCATGCGAACCATGCAGGTCTCACTCACACACTTGATTCAATCAGCTGTCTCCAACGAAATCCAGTCACAGCCACTCCTGGCCACAAGTTCACAGCAATACTCATTTCTCCTGGCTCTCACTGCGCCAAGTGTTCTGAGAGCAAGAGATCTGTGCAGCACCAATGGCAGCAAAGCTCAAGATTTTTCTCTCTATCCTTATTTATCTTGTCAGATTGCACACTGAATGGATTTCCTGTGACACCTCCTGCTGCCTTAAGTAGCCACCTCCCCCTCTACTACCAAATCATCTCCACACTCACTCATCTCTTTGAGAACCCATACAACACATCAGACACTTTTGTTAGCTTTCCAATGGCGGCAGCCACCATGTCCCTCTCCTCCTCGACCTTTGCCGGCAAGGCGGTGAAGAATGTACCATCTTTGGCTCTCTTGGGCGAGGCCCGCGTCACCATGCGCAAGACCGCAGCAAAGGCAAAGCAGGTTTCCTCCGGCAGCCCATGGTACGGTGCTGACCGTGTGCTCTACCTCGGCCCACTCTCCGGTGAGCCTCCGAGCTACCTGACCGGTGAGTTCCCTGGCGACTATGGGTGGGACACTGCTGGACTTTCGGCTGACCCGGAGACCTTCTCCAAGAACCGGGAGCTGGAGGTGATCCACTGTCGCTGGGCCATGCTTGGGGCACTTGGTTGTGTCTTCCCTGAGTTGCTCGCCCGCAACGGCGTCAAGTTTGGCGAGGCCGTTTGGTTCAAGGCCGGCTCCCAGATCTTTAGTGAGGGTGGTCTCGACTACCTCGGCAACCCCAGCCTAGTGCACGCACAAAGCATCCTAGCTATTTGGGCATGCCAGGTCGTGCTCATGGGTGCCGTCGAGGGGTACCGTGTTGCCGGCGGCCCACTCGGTGAGATCGTTGACCCACTCTACCCAGGCGGTAGCTTCGACCCTCTTGGCTTGGCCGAAGACCCTGAGGCATTCGCCGAGCTCAAGGTGAAGGAGATCAAGAACGGTCGCCTTGCCATGTTCTCAATGTTTGGCTTCTTTGTCCAAGCTATCGTCACGGGCAAGGGCCCACTTGAGAACCTCGCTGACCACATCGCCGACCCCGTCAACAACAATGCATGGGCATTCGCCACCAACTTTGTCCCCGGCAAGTAAGGTGTCTTGGGACTGTGCTCGCAATGAGGCATGTTCTCCTGTGGCCTGAGTTGTACTATCATGATGTAAATTACAAGAAATTTGTGCAAAAGCACGGTTCGGTTTGTCCACTTCCATGTCGCACCTTGCATCGGTCTGACCATTTTGTTGTGATATGATGGTTCACGAGAACAGATAAATACTTCTGTGTGTTCTTGCTTAACTGTTACCATGTTGGTGGAAGACACATTTAAAACTGATTCCCCAATTTCAAAGAGTGGCAACATGTAAACCAGGCTCGGGTGATTCTTTGCTGCTTTGACTACATAATTGGTCTGACTAACCTTTACAACAACTTTATGCTGAGCTTTGCTCCTATGCCACCAACTTGAATATCCTTTCAGTGCATCTTTGCAACTGCATGATCTAGCAGACAAGTTTCATGGACCTATTTCTGCTCAGGCTCACTCTCAGTTCAGTCCCATTGCAAGAGAACATTACTGCACTTCGGACTCAGGGAGACGCTGATGAAATAAGAGTGCCTGTCGACTCAAATGGAAAAAGTTGTTGGCTGCTCCTTTATGACAAACTTAGCACCAGAAATATGGTGCAGAGGAAAACATTTTATCTTAACTCTTACAGTTGTATCCTTTGCCATGAACAGCTGAAGAATCTCAGCTTCATCTCTTCTAGAACTACTGTTTTTCTCAGGCATGCTGGAAATGCTTTTCTACCTCACAAGCTCATCGGGATGTCAACCTTTGATGAAATTAAGCTTGCAAGAATAGCCATTAACACTCCATTTAGCATGGGTATAGTCATTCCATGCTGTTTGAACGTATAGAAGATCGGGAATGATTAAATATTCAGAACTGAGAGGCCCTCTCTGGGAAGATGGCTTGGAAGTTTCAGCGAAGATCTTACTCTGGTTACCCATGGAGTAGAGAGAAAACACTCTGAATAATTTTCTTTCTTGGATAGGAAAGAATTTGTAATCTTTCCCCTTCACTCTTCTGTATATACTCCCTTGTAAATATTTTTATTAATACAATTACATAGTAGGATCCTTTCCTACTGTTTTCCGGTAAGAGAAAACATATATAATGTGTTCAGACGAGAGACAACTTATATCTATATGATCGTGTACGCCGGTGAATCTACGGGGGGCGAGCGAGGGAAACACTACTATATATTTTTAAGGCTTTCCATCACGAATGATCTCAATCCATCCGGCTCGATTGCAAGGGCCATGGTTTTCTTTCATTTCTTAATCTGCAACAAAACAGAGTGTGGCCGAATGTTATCGCATCAGTGATTTTCCAGGACATTTTTACTTTATTTGACAAATTAGTGACAGATAGACATTGACCTAGTATTCAAGAATGGCCGTTGGCTATGAGACTGCAGTGAACAGTACGCACGTGTGTGTGCTTTGAACTGTACTGTACCATTCATGTGAAGCACAAAGGACCATGTGCCAAAGCATTGCCCACTGCAGATTTGCCTCCCTCTGCTCCCAATTTTTCAGTCTTCACACCCGGCCTGAAGCACCAATTGTTAGTTTCCTAAGATGACTGCAAAAGCAGGTCTAGTATATGAATCCAAATTAAGCCCGGTCCAAACCTGACGACTGAAACATCTTTGCGTCCAATGCGATCATCCCCGTGTTCCATTACCATGTCGCAATCACCACCGACTCGACTGATGCTGCGCTGCCCCTAAACCAACCAGGCTATCACCGTCGCCATGTGCGATGCCGCACCTACCTCTAAGTTAGTTTAAATTTCTTTCAGAAAATCTCTATCAACTAAGGACTACCAGGTGACTATTTAAAAAAAAAACTGAACCGTGCACACTTGTGGGATGCTTTTCACATATTGACAATCCGATCCCCGCTAGCACGGACAGCTTGGAAGATTGGTGGTTCCATTCCAGGAAGCTACTCCCAGAGGCCAAGCGCAAAGGTTTCAACTCAATGGGCATGTTAACCTGCTGGTGTCTACGGAAGCAGCTCGGTGGATCTGAACTTTGCCCCTTCATCTTGATGAACTGCGTCAATGGGCGCTGGCGGGCGGGAGCGGAGTAGCAGCTATCTGCAGCTTTGCTGTGTCTTTCAGGTGTTGGAGTGCTGTTGCTCTCTTCTGTAAAGAAATGGTACACAGTTTGCGTACTCTCGAAAACAAAAATTCAGTGCCTGAACCAATTTTTTTTCTTACCCAATTATCACCACATGACTGATAAATCATTTTCACCTGATACATTACCCCCATCCCCATGCGCAGTCAATCAGAAAGAGTCCAAGATTGTATCTACCCCAGCTAATCGCCCTCCCAGCCCAGCCACCCCTACCAGAGCCTTCATCCTCCCCTGTCTCCGTTATATATTTCAAGCAGCCCCTCCTCGCTTTCACAAAAGCCCTCCCTAAAAGCCTCTCCCTCATTTTTCTTAGCTGCCAAAGCTTTCTTCTGTTGCTATTTCTTCACTCCATTGCTGTCTTCTCAGCAGCTCAATTTGCTCATCACACTCAAACACAAGCTAGCTAAGCGAGCCAGGTCCATTTCCCGCGCTCATGGGGTTGCAAGAGATGGCGAAGCTGCAGCTGCACCGCCATGGCGGCATGCGAGTGGAAGCCCACGCCCCCGTCGACGACGACCAGGCGGCGGTCCGCGGGAGGAGGAAGAAGGCGACGGCGGCAGCGGTCTGGATTGCAGTGCCGCTCAGGCCCGTCAAGGTCGGCCGCCGAAGACACGGCGGCGGCGACAGCAGCGGCGAGGCAGGGGAGGTGGAGGAGAAGGAAGTGGAAGAGGAGGAGGAGGTGACGACGCCGAGAGGGGAAGGGTGCAGGATACCCTGGGAGGCGGCGACGTGCCCGCCGGCGCCCAAGAAGGCGAGGACGGCGGTGGCGATCTTCGCCGACCGCCGGTGCAACCGCGACGACGGGGAGGCGACAGAGTACTTCCGCGTGCCGGCGGACCTGGACTCCGTGTTCGCCGTCAGCCGGGTCGCCGAGGCCAACTGAATGATTCGTCCATGCTCGCGCGCGTGTAGAGCTGCAAGTGCGAGCGATCAAGTCCAGTTAAAAGACAAGAGACAGAGGAGATGATCCAATAATGCAGCTGTAAAAATTTCGCATTGTCGATGCAATGGATTTATCTTAGTTAATTACTTCTCTTTCAGTGTAAATGTAAATTAATCGAGGTCGAGGAGTGCATCTGTACTACTACTGATTCGATCTGTCTTGGTTATTTGCTGGATGGTCAATCTGCTTTTGTATAATCTTCTTTTCATGTCTCGTTAGGAGGGAAGTGGTTCTTAGTTCTTACTGTTCTTTGGCAGATAGTGCAACTTTTAAGTTCGACTGAATTTCGCTGTGAAATTTGTGAGAGAAAATGGAACACGCCCACATCTTTATTTTTCTCTTGGACAGTATCTACATAGTACATAATTTTCACGCAGTAATAATATGGACATTATGTGTTCTGAGACTGTTGTCAGCTAATTTATTTCAAACGAAATTTAAACCCTGATCGTTGAACTAACTAAAATACATCGAGTGTTTACACTTCAGTTCAATGCTTTCTATGAAAAATCTCAAAAAGTCACAAACCTCCATATGTATCTGGGAAACTATTCCCAATCACTGCCCCCTCAGTCACCTTCTCAGATTGTTCGCTCCTGGTGCTCCCTCAACCATCCTTTCTCCCCAGGATTCTTTTTCTCGCCACTCCTTAACCCCGGATGGAGCTCGGAGAGCTCATTGGCATGAAAATTCAACGCGCCTCCAAGCTCGGAGAAGATGGTGGGTGGGCCGGGGTGGGATGCATTTGGGCTTGCCCGATCAGATTCGTTAGCGGCGAGTCCAATGCAGCGACATTGCTGGCCAAAGCATTATTGGTAAACGATTAGCAACTTGAATCCCAAACTTAGAATGGATGAACGCCGTGTTGCAATGCTTTTGGCCATCCATATTTGTTGTGAATTGCTGTGTTCATCTTGTGAAGGCATTTAGTGTTGCCGTGTATTGTTGGTTAATTATTTTGCCATATGGTGCTCGCGACTAGAAAGTATCCAGCAGATATCACATTTCAAAACATCTATCCAATTCCTGATAAAATATAGTGTGTTAAAGTTCAAACTTCTAAACAATTCCCGAGAAATGGAAGTGCATTAGAAGTGTGATGGCCTATAAACATGTGATATTTGAAGCTCAAACTCATGCTCATTGGGTGGTAAGAAAAAAAAACAAATTATGAAAGAAATAGTGATATTGTGGTCAATATTCACTACTGAATTTGGTTATCTCATACCTCACAAATGAACTTCATTTTGAACTTGGAATTTTATACTCCCTCTGTTCCTTGATATAAGGTGTATAGATTTTTTGAGAAAAAGTCCAAAATATAGGTGTATTGCGTTTCACCAGTCGTTTGAATAATTTTTCAAGGGATTTGATTACATTTCCATATATAGGTCAAGCTCCTCTATTTTCTCATGTCAATTAGTCAGGTGCAATCTTGCCCTATGTTTTTAAGGCGGTAAGGCGAGGCGAGGCGCTGGGGGGGCGCCTCACTGCCTAAGCGCTGAGGCATAAGGCGAGGCGACGCCTTACAGACTTGTAAGCAACAGAATTAAGTAGAATTTGGTAGGCATTAAGCAACTAGGCATACAGCCATACACACCTTGCAACTGATTGTTGTAGAGCCCCCATCCTCTTTGCACTTGCTTTTCTCCCCAACAGAATTCTGCATCAACATGAAGTCATGAACAAATATGTTAGAATAATGTATCACTTACCAGTGCACATTCCACAAAAAATAGAAATAAAAGTGAGGCAGCGAACAAAAGTGGAAAGAAAGATAGCAAGTATGAGTGCAACTGCAATCTGCAATGCATGGCATATTACATAACCATTAACCAATTCAAATGACACAAGTCCAGTAGTCCACATAAGACAAACAGAATAATAGATAATTCCAGCATAGCAAAAGGGATAAAGGTGGCCAGCTCAGCTCTCTCATGTCTCTCCACTCTCAAAGTCTCAATCAAAAGTCATCATCATCAAACTCATTGGCATTGGTGTTGTCTTCACCATCTTGGTCAACATTAGTTGGCTCTTGATCGTCATTGCTCACATCATCATCATCCTCAACGTAGTCTGAATCCTCCCCCTCCGCATTGGGCATACTGTTGCTCTTGCTTGTTGTTGCTGTACTGCAGAGGAGGAGGAGCTGCTGGACAGGAGGATGAGGAGGAGCTGCTGGACAGGAGGAAGAGGAGGAGGAGCTGCTGGACAGGAGGAAGAGGAGGAGCTGCTGGAGAGGAGGAACCGTTGGAGAGGAGGGGGAGGAGCTGCTGGAGAGGAGGAGGAACCAGATCTGCTGGAGAGGAGCCACTGAAGAGAAGGAGGGGGAGGAGTGTGTGGATTGGGGGCTGTTTCTCTCTCTCTCTTTCTCCCCTCTTACCTGTTGGCGCCAACATGATTCCAGCTTCCCGCCAAAACTCTGTTTCCCGCCTAAAACAGCTCCCCTGCCTGCCTGGCAAGCTAAGGCGTCCAAAATGGACTAAGGCAACGCCTCGGACGCCTAGGCAGACGCCTCGGACGCCTTATAGCTTAAGGCGGACGCCTTAGACACCCACCTAAGGCGAGGTGGACGCCTTGCCCTCGCAGGGCGCCCTGACGCCTAAGCGTCGCCTAGGCGACGCCTTAGGGACGCCTTGAAAACAGAGATCTTGCCCAAAACTTGTGAAATTTTCCCTCCACGTGCGTTCTTTAATTCCGTGCCAAAAACTATACACCCTATATTTAGGAATGGATGGAGTATATATTTGTACAGCATCACCTCCCCGGCATATCTTTTTCAGAATTTTTAGAAACCTTAAAACAGGGAGTAGTTTTTTACTTGTTTTACACTAATGTTCATTGTACCTTGGTTTCCACTAGATATTTTCTTGTGAACAGTTTTCTCAAAGACATGTTGCAACAAATTGAAACATGTATATTACATATAAAAAAACGTATTCGTGTGTTTGAAAACATTGCACCATTTTTTTCACATTCTCTGGCAGATCGTGAGAAAGTCATATACCCACAAAAAAATGTTGCACTTGGATTATTTGCTTTTGTTACTGTGATTGGACGCTCTAGAAGCATCGTTTAAGTAAGACTGGGGGCAGGAGGCGGCCGATTTCCCGCAACGGCCGCCCTCCCGACGCTAGCACGTCCAATAAAAACACTAGCATTTTTATACACATGGCTATCCCTACTTTTAACACACCGGCCAGGCCAACCTCTAAGCCCGCCAAAATTTGAAACACTCAGTTCCAAACAGAAGATCAATTAAATCCCAGAAAACCTGCGTCACTTTAGTTGATAATAATATACTCAGTAGGTTTTTCTCTAAAGTGTTTTGCTTTCTCGAGCTTCCAGGGGGGAAATAATGTTTTGGTAGGATCCCAATTTCAAGTACTAATTAATTTAAACAAGATCAAGTTGCTGATTCTTTTGCATGTCGTACAAAAAAGAGTGACCTACTCCTTTTGTACCTGGAAAAAATTATTAATTCGAGAAAAAGAGCAATGATTCATGCTGGCTTTTTCAAACAATAAATACAAGCATATGTTTCCCCACCATTAATTTATAACAGGTTCTTCATACTACAGGAGGATGCATGCATCCCTCGATTGTATCGAGTTTTTACCAACTAACTAAAATGATACACCAGATCCCAGACGCTCAAAAAGCCACCAAAAAGAATGCAGAAGTCAACACAACAAACATATGGATGCTCATATAAGCTTACCGACTTCTTTCTTTTATACTCAACACTAACCTTGAAGATCAGATCAACAACAGCCCTCGTGTAGCGTAGCGTAGGCTAGCTTCACTTCACCTATATATGGTAGAATGTTCTATTCCATTAAATACCTGGTCTCAGATGCTGCTGCATGGATGCAGCCACAGTTTGATGATCAGAGCAAATAGATGGATGGATAACATGTCCAGCCAATATAAAATTCAGATACTAGTGCAACGGCTCCACTGGGACTTTGGCCACTGGCCAGTGCTATACTGCTATCCTTTTCTCCCTTGGATCCCTCTATGCCTGGGCCACCACATTGCTCAAAGGCAAGTTCCTTACCGCTTCTCCTGCTTTGACCTGCACAGTGAAAAAGGCATTATATTATTTACTCTTGTAAAGTTCTATAATGTACTACTGGTGTATTTTCGTCTGATCTTATGTTTGTGCGATTGGTAAAGGAAAATGGTACATTCTGTGAAAAGTCACTTTGGAAAGTATTATGCAAATCATGTCTGATGCAGTGAAAAAGGCAGTATCATATTGATCAAACCTTTTTTCACTATTATCATTCTTAATTATGACAGATCAACAGAATTTCATCTTATTTTTTACTTTCAGCAGAGCATAGAAGCACTTTTTCATGCATATACATTGACAAGAACTAACATGAGCGTGTAGAAGGGCAAGAAGCCAAAGATTAAGGGGAAGTAGTTACTCAATCAGATATGAAGGTAAAAAAATATACAATTTCAGATCCTCTTGCAGATAAAGCAAGGGTTGGTTATTCACTTTGGATCACAGCCTTGATTTGGGTATGTGTCCAAATGATGAAAGCTCCAGTTAAGGGTACTGGAGATATGATTAGGGGGACTAGCCCCACTTCATTATGTCTGCCATTATAGAGCTTACATGTATAATCTATTGGCCCACTGTGTCTTTTCTTTAACTACACAACAAGAAACAGTACCAGCTAGTGTATGTATATGTTGATGTAACTAGACACCAATGTTTGTCGTGACCGATTTACTAAAACGGTGATCTAATTATTGGATTGGATGTCATGAATGAAAGGATAGGGAGAGCCTGATGAGCCCCAAATTAAGATGCACATCATCTCGAACATTGCATCTTAATTAGTGCTATGTAACATGTTGAATGAAAACGACAAAGACAAAAACCAAGCATTGTTGAAATACATGCATGAGTTGGCCGAATGTGA